TACCAGATAAGCTGATAAAGTCAATTTTTTAAATGGAATTAGGAAAGATAATCTTATAAGTGCATGCACATATTTGACTTTGTGATTTGAAGGAAATAAATTAGTCTGATAAAACAGTTGTTAAAAGAAAGAGTTTATTTGGCAATTCTATTTCCCACAAGTCTGTCAATGAGCTTTAGGCTGCAGCTTTGTTCAAAACCTATATAGAGATATTGTATCTCTAAATAGACCATTTAGGCTTTGACTAGGTCAAAGCAAAGATGGTTGTAAAATTCACAGTTGAGTGTGTTTCTCCTTATTTTCAACTAATTTAAAGGGAAAAAATGCTTTTGGTTATTAAATCCTATTCACAGGCAGATAGTATCTGTCTGTGGAGCACTTCTTGTGGCTTTATGCTTTTAGATAAGGAGAAAATGTTTTTATATGAGTATAGGTGATTTTCACAGAATCCCTCTTTCAGCTTAAAACCGTTCCACCTTGTTCTATCACTACCTGCCCTTGTAAAAAGTCCCTCCCCAGCTTTCCTGTAGGACCCCTTCAGGAACTGGAAGGTTGCAATAAGGTCCCCCCAGAGCCTTCTCTTCTCCAGGGTGAACAGCCCCAACTCTCTCAGCCGGTTGTTGTAGGGTAGGTGCTCCAGCCCTCTGATCATCTTTGTGGCCCTCCTCTGGACCCGTTCCAACAGCTCCGTGTCCTCCTTATGTTGGGGGCCCCAGAACTGGATGCAGTACTCCAGAGGGATAGAATCACCTCCCTTGCCCTGCTGGCCACACTTCTTTTGATGCAGCCCAGGATGCGGTTGGCCTTCTGGGCTGGAAGGGCACATTGGTGGCTCATGCTGAGTTTTTCATCGACCGACACCCCCAAATCCTCCTGCTCAGGACTGCTCTCAAGCCATTCTCTGCCCAGCCTGTCTTTGTGCTTGGGATTGCCCCTACCCAGGTGCGGGACCTTGCACTCAGCCTTGTTGAGCCTCATGAGATTCACCCGGGCCCACTTCTCCAGCTTGTCCAGGTCCCTCTGGATGATATCCCTTCCCTCTGGCACACAAACCTCACCACCCAGCTTGGTATCATCAGCAAACTTGCTGGGGGTGCACTCAGTCCCGCTGTCAATATCAGTAATGAAGGTATGAAACAGCACTGGTCCCAGTAGAGACCCTTGAGGGACACCACTTGTCACTGTCTTCCATCTGGACATGGAGTCGTTGACCACTACCCTCTGGATGTGACCATCCAGCCAATTCCTTATCCACTGAACGGTCCACCCATCAAATCCATACCTCTCCAACTCAGAGAGAAGGATGTTGTGGGGGACCGTGTCAAAGGCCTTGCAGAAGTCCAGATAGAATCACAGAATCACAGAACGCTGATGCAGTTACCCCATTGTAGAAAGCCATGAGGTTGGTCAGGCAGGACTTGCCCCTAATAAAGCCATGCTGGCAGTCTTGAATCATCTCCATGTCCTCCTTGTGCCTCAGCATAGCTTGTAGGAGGACTGACTTCAGTCTGTCAGGAACACCTGTTAAGGTTACAGGTTTTACTAGTTTTTCAATACGTTTTAGTTGTTGTTTGCTGGTTTTGGTTTTATTTTACTTGACTCCTACAGACACTGCCAAATTTTTCTCCTGGTCCTGCAGTCAGGATGAAAGACTAAAATTGACTTTTTATCTGAAGCTCTTCTTCTTTGCTAAATTCCATGCTTGGAACATTTGTCCCTCATAGAAGCTGTCTAAAGACACAGAGGTCTAAGCCTGTGTGGGTGCATTCTGCTCAGGTGGTTTGTGCATCCTGCAATCACAGGCACAAAGGCGGCAGCAAGTCAAAGATGGCAAGAGCCAGAATGGCAGTGCAGCTGTTGTGTCCATTCATCCTCTTTATTTCTGAACTTTCTTCTATAAGTCCACCTTATCAACTCCTTTCCAGGTCCTTCCTGCACAATCTCAGCTGCTCTGTCTTTGAGGTCTTTTGTCCCCTAAGCTCCAGTTTTCTCTTCTTTTTTTCACTTCCTACAGAGAAGATGTAAGAGGAAAGCCAACACCACTCAGCTAGCATGTAGTATCAGGATGCTGCTGCAGGGGACAGGAGTTTTGGGGCAAGGACAATGCTTTGTGCGGGTCAAGGTGTGAGGTGAGACACTGAGCAGCAGTGTCAGGGGGAGCTGTGCTGTGCCATGCTGCCAGCAGCAGGACTGCGCTTGCCCAGTGTCCAGAGCAGCGCCCACCACACCAGCAGCGTCGCTGGGCCTGCCCTGAGGAAGGACCTCAGTCCCCCTGACCCCGGGTGCTGGGAGACAGCCCCGGTGGGGATCTCACCCTGTGCCTTCTGCAAGCCGGAGCCAGAAAGGTACTCCAGGTGGGGTCTCGTGATAGCAGAGTAAAGGGACAGAATCACCTCCCTCGCCCTACTGGTCACACTTCTTTTGATGCAGCCCAGGATGCGGTTGGTCTTCTGGGCTGAAAGGGCACATTGCCAGCTCCATGTTGAGTTTTTCATCAACCGACATCCCCAAGTCCTTCTGCTTGGGGCTGCTCTTGAGCCATTCTCCACCCAGCCTGTATTTATGCTTGGGATTGCCCCTGCCCAGGTGCAGGACCTTACACTTGACCTTGTTGAACTTCATGAGGTTGGCATGGCTCCACCTCTCAAGCCTGTCCAGGTCCCTCTGTATGGCATCCCTTCTCTCCAGTGTATCAACTGCACCACACAGCGTGGTGTCATCTGCAAACTTGCTGAGGGTGCGCTTGATCCCACTGTCCATGTTGCTGACAAAGATGTTGAACAGTACTGGTCCCAATAGCGATCCCTGGGGGACACCACTCGTCACCGGTCTCCACTTGGACACTGAGCCATTGACCGCAACTCTGTATGAGACTGTTCAGCCAATTTCTTATCCAACGAGTGGTCCATCCATCAAATCCACAATTCTTCAGTTTTGTGACCAGTGTGTCATGCGGGACAGTGTCGAACGCTTTGCACTTATTCTCAGAGGTAATACATAATTTTCTATTTGTTCTTTCTTTTTATTCTCCTACTTTCTGTAGCACATCTCTGCATGTCTGTGCTCATGTTCTGAACAAGTGTGCAGAGTGCACCAGCGAATCTTCATAATGAAATGGTTGGCTATTCCGTTAATACAGGTCGTCTTCTTCAAGAATGAGATATCAAAACAGTCTGAAGATCTTTCAGAAGATGCTCTCTGTAATGAATCCTAGTAGTTCTGTTTGACCCTGTCTACTGACAAGACAGAATGACTTACTAGGAACAGTTGTGGACTCAGTTATTAACAACTTTTGCCTCAATTTGACCTCCTGCTCAACAGGAGCACAATGGTTGCACAAGGCAAACCAGTTCTGTTATAAGATGACTGAGCTCCGTAAGTGTATCTTTGATGTACATAACTTTTGAAGTAAGTTGAGTTCCATAATGGTTTGGGTTTGGGTTTTGGATTTTTTGCATATGTAACAAACCTGTTAACTCTGTATCTGCAGGATTAAAGCATAATGGAAACAATCTGCTTTAAAATTTACATGTTATATTTCAGATTAAGGCAATGGCACCAACAGAAAAAAAAGTGTTCTTGCTGCAGAAGACTATGAATAAGCGTAATTTATTAACTCCTTAACACCATGAGGCATGCTAATGTATTTTGAATTACATAGCATATGAATGTTTTAAAAAATAAGCACTTCCAAAATTTAATTGAGGTGATATGAGGTCCTTTTAGTGCAGATATAGTTCTGGAAGTTCCACTAGGGTAGCTGAGAGATTAAAGAAAAAAGTCTTGCGTTTGCATATATGATAATAGAAGAAGTGACTGTAGCAGTCTTTTAAATTTTAGATCTTCAAACAGGTTTTGCAAACCTGGTGTTCCCAAGGACAAAAGCCTAGGCCATGCTGCAGATCTTTTTGCTATTGCTTTAAAAGAATCTTGAGTCTGACCCTCTTGAACAAGCTGGAGGTTTCCCTCGTGCTTTATTTTGAATGAGTCAAGCCAATTCTTTTGGGTGACAGCATAGTTGTAATGGCACTTAAAAGTTTCAGCAGCATAAAACAACCTTGAATGAAGGTAGAGACATGGCTTCAAACGTTTCACAACTGTCTTACGGTGACCATATTTTATTTTTTCTGCTGCAGTTCAGAGATCTTTATGTGTTGGAAATTAATGAAAATACGGGATTTCTGCATTCTCTGTTATTCACAAAAATAAGGAGGGATTTTGTTTTGTTTTTCTTAATTTAGATCTGCATACGGTTTTAAGAATCTGAAGTGAGGAAATAACTAGTGCTTAGGAATATTTCTGAGATAATTCACAGTGATGAATCTCTTACAAAAACCAATTTAACTATTATCAAACTAGTTGCTTGAGTACTACCAGGTGTGTGGTGTTGTGTCATCATCTGTCCCATCCCCCAAAACTAAGGAACAGATTTTCTGGGTTATAATACAGGACTACTTCTTACATTTCTGGTGTCCTGATTTGTGCCCAGTCTTTGGACTGGGGTAATACCTGGTGTTTAGATAGCTGTATATCTTATAGAGATACCCCTGTGGTTTCTGTGCTGAGTCTTCAATTGCTACCCTTCCTTCCCGATCCAAGCATAACGCCCTTCAGCTTCTCTTTTCACAGTGTCTTTTCTAGCCAATTTACTTCATTTCTGATGCTGAGAAACATTGTGAGTTTTGTGACCCCCTCAGCCAGTGAATAATTCATTAACAAATCACAAACTAAAATAGTTTGCATAGATCATCAAACATTTTAATTTTTTTTTAACAACTTCAACAGAAAATAGGACTACAATTGGCAAGTAGTCATTTGGCACTGCTCTGGAGCTTTTCTGTATGGATATTTTAACTCACACAAGGTCAGAGTAATAAGGAAAAGATCTGTTTCTGTCTAACTGGGTTGTTACACTTTCAAGTTTTAAAATAAGTAGAAGTTTTAAAGAACACCATCTCCCTAATTCTATCACCTCTAATATTAATTCTCTTCTTTTAAAGTCTAGGGATTCCATCAAGTTGGACGACTTGAAGGCAGAGGTGTCACCACGAATTTCAGCAGAAGATCTGATTGATTTGTGCGAGTTGACAGGACCCAGTCATTCCAAAACACCTGTAAAGAAAACCAAGTCTAGCAAGCCAAAGCTGCTGGTCGTGGACATTCGTAACAGTGAGGAGTATCCTTCAAATCTGAGTGGCAGCCTTGCCAAATCATGCTCGTATCAATTAATTCCTCGTTGTCTGCAGGCAGTGAGATGTTAGAATGGTAAATAATGGAAAGGGATGTGGTCGAAGAACAGTGGAAGGAAGATGTTTTTTATTTTTATTTTTATGTTTTTGTCATGGAGAGGCCTGGTTTGTAAAGGAGAGGATAAATGTGGTTTTGTCTTCCCATTTTAAGATGTGGGTCTAGTGAAACCACTTTGTACCAGTAGCACAAGTGCTTTAATCCTACAAGTGCTTTAATTTTATGACAGGTATTGTCAGTAGACCTTCCCCATTTAATATGACCAGTATTTTGGAAGGGTATGAGGCTTTCCAATCAAGTGGAAGGGAGATAGAGAAGAGTCAGTAGCTGATGTACTTTGCCAATCCCTCAGTGGAAAATAGATGTGCCTTCTTGATACTGTCAGGTAATGCAGCCATATGGCTGCCCTAACTTATTGTCCTCTAGTTCGCTTATAATCAGAAAAGCCTTAAAGCTATCTTGAAGCTATATTTTTATCAAGGTTGCTACCCAGTCTGCTCTTTACTCTTTTTTTTTTTTTCCCCAATACATAGTTCTTTGCATGTGGATATTTTAAAAGCAGTGTAGGGGCTGGGTTGGTTTGGCTTTTGGAAAGGGAAGTCCTTACAGATGTGCTTTGCCAGGAACATGCATCTTTGTCAACACCCATCTAAAAATGGGAATAATGGCAAGATTTTATTAGAGGTAACTCCTAATGTTACACTGAGTATTTGGGAATATACTTGTTATTTTTTTTGTATCATTTTTTTAAGCATTGTTCATTTCATGCTAGTAAAGGTGATATAGTTGTTTCTGCAGTAGATGTAGAACACAAAAAATATTTTTTTCTTTTTCTTGAATGTATTAATTTCATATCTCAGTTAAGGATTTCAATCAAGTAGAGATTCACTTGTCTAAGTCGTTTGATACTCTATTTTCTGGACTCTAGCTACTTCTTCACTCCTAGCTCCACATTGTTGAAATGTGGTGGTCCTCATTCAGAAGCCAATAAAAATGCAGGCTATTTTCTGAGAGACAATTTCTTAATCAAGAGACAATACTTTTTAGACTCCAGTTTAAAAGATAATTCCCTGGAATTAAAAAATATAAGAGGCTATTGCTACTGCATAGAAAGCTTTGATACTACTGAGTTAAATAATGTTTATATTTCTACATGCATCATTCTGTTGTTAATTACTTAAGCTACTTTCTAGAAATCATCAAGGAAATGCAGAAGGAGAGCATGTAATATAAAATGCCTAGGCTACAATCATTGCACTGAAAGGCTGTTATCTGTGTGCAGTAATGGGTTTATTTATATTATAATCAGGATCAAAGGCAAGGTGTTTGCTTAAATGTTTCTATTGCTTTCCTAATAGCTTGATAATAGGTTCTACTCTGTCATATTAGTCCTATTCTACTCTAGTAGAGTGGATTCGAAATTTCAATTATTTTAAAATCATTTGACTGCTATTAAGTAAGTGTTTTTGTGAGGCTGTATTTCATATTACAAAATCTTAATCAGACTTTCCATTTATATTTCTTGAATGAGGAGTCATGCTGGGGAGAGAGAGAAAATCTCCATAGCTCGAACAGTGAACTTTAATCGCTGCTGCTGTTGTTTTGGTCTAGTTGGAATTTATGGTAGACAGAAATGCCCTGCCCTTTAAATAATGGGCACACTTAAATCCTGATACCCATCTAGTGTTAGGATATAGGGAATGTCATTATTAGAAAGGCAGCCTGGTAGGTAGTAAAATTACCCCTTGAGTGAGCTGGTTTGTGTGTCAGTTGTAGAAGAAATCACATGGTATATAGAAAGCTATTAACCTGTCCACAGGTGTGAATGGACATGGGAAACCATAGGAATACTGTGACCAGTGCCCTGTTCATTCTTGCAGTAAGGAAACAGTCTGTAATTGTCACAAGGTTTTCTAACAAACTGTACAACAGGATCAGGCAGTCTGGATGTTACTGTGGCTTGTGTTTCAAAATGTGACAAACCACTGTGAGGTGCTTCAAAAATATGATCATTATGTTTTGTCATTAGTCTTCCTCATTGTCTGTGCGTGTCACTCTCTGTTCACTCTCACTTCATTTTCAGTGAGATTTGAAAAAAAGCATGAGAGTCAACAAGTATCAAACATGCTTCATATTTCCTACTAGGATGCACTTAAAAGCTGAGGTATTGTTTTGTAATGAAGCCCACATTACAAGGTCAGGAGCTGCTGACCCTTTTCCCCAGTAGACAGCTTTGTAACAGAAGACTTTCTAATGAAAAGGTTATATTCTCAAGCAGTGCCTCTGTTGGTCAGCAATTGGGGTAAGGCTCATTTCATTAAGCATGTTAGCAGAAATACTGGCAGCCTTCCGTTCCTGTTATTAAAGTTATAGCTGCATGCTATAGTCTCTCAGTCTGTAGCACAAAATCTTGGCCTTTTTGTTAATTGTCTTAGTACTGTAATGCTTAACATGGTCCCTTAAGATTAGGGAGAATGTGAATGACAGCAAATAGAGTTTGGATCTATCTAGTTTGGTATTAAGGTTGGTATCACATGTATTTCTTTTTTGTCAAGTTTGAGCAGTTAAGCATACTTTATGGCATGAGTGTGAGCAATTATATCTGTCCAAAGTAATTTGCTGTCCAAATGATGTTAGTTTCAGAACTTTTACCCTGGTTAGTAGCAGTGAGAGTGATATGGTTATAAACAGGGTTGGGGAGAGGAGGCTGGCACAAGTTAGTGAAGGAGGGGTGTCATAATTTTCCCCTTCAAAATAGAAACAAACTGACAACATCAATGAATGCTACATGATCTTTTGTTCTTTCAAATGTTTTATAGCCATGTGTTTCCCAGACTATAACAATGATGATCATAAAGCTGAAATTTAGCACTAATTCCTCGTGATTTATGTATTAATATTAACCAAGTCAATTCAATCTTACCTTTATTTAAGGCAGCTCCTTTATTAAAAAGGGTTCTGGGTTTTAATTATAAATCAAACTAGCTTTCTCTAAGTACAGTAGTAAAGGGTGACTAATCTGGATATTTGTGTATATTTTTGCAAAATTTTGCTGTTTCACATTTCTTCAAAGCTATTTATTGTTGGGAGAGAGGAGTATTCGAGGCATGTGCGTACAGTCTATGACAGTGATTCATAGGTTTGTCAAGGTCATGGTGCATTTTCAAATTCACAAAAAGCTAGGTAGTACTGATCCAACTTAGTTTTTATTGAAGAGACTTTCACATTCAATATTCATAAAATCTCATTGAATGATCATCCTTTGAAAGTGAAGCACAACTAACTACATCTCAGAGTTGCTGGCACTCTTATGTTGTTTGCTTTTCAGTACCCAATACACACCTGCTGTTAGTGGGACTGCAGATAGTATACGTGATGCTCATTGTCTGGGAATCTGAATGCATGTACATTAGAATTTAAGTTTGGATCAAAAATGCAGAGGGCTTGTGGGGATTGGCAGGAGGTGTAAGGAAATTTTCCAATAATCTCTGTTTAGGTGTGGTTCTCATTGTAAGTAGGTCATTCCTTTTGCATCAAACTCCTCTGGAAGAGATGCTCCAGCTGCTTATTGGTATTTAGCTTCTGTTATCAGACTAGAGCCGATTTGAAGTAAAATCCACAAAAATACGTATACTGTGGATATTGTTTCCTTAGCACCAAGTGTTTCATTTAGCAGATCAGTTTCTACAGTGCTCTGCTGTGTCCTTTATAAAACAAACAACTCTTCATTCTGTCCTTTTTAAATGTGTGTCAGAAGTTGTTTTCTCCATATGAGTAGGTAGTAAATGAGGTTTGTCAAAATATACTAGCCCAAAAGACCAACAGTGTTGTATAACGACAGCCAGGATGAAGAGCAGGTTCATTCTGCAGCTGTGCATGTACCACAGGTTTCTCTGCCTTTCAGATGTCCTTAACTGACCTTCCTAAGCTTTAACCGTGGCCACATTTCTGGTAGCATCAATGTCCCGTTTGCATCAGCATTTACAGCAGAAGGGGATCTTGTCCAGTGCCCAGCAACTGCCACACTCCAGAGCTTTAAAGGAAGAGTTGTGGTGATTGTAGGAAATGCAGTGAAGAACACAGCTGCTGTAAGTATATTGCTATAACGTAGTATGTTTACACTTAGAAATACATCAATGACATGAATACAGACAGTAAATAAATAAATGGGTAATTCAGATTAGTAACATTGGATATGATGACAGGATTTGGGGTGATTGTTGTTGTTAATTTCTGCTTCTAGACAAAGACATTTTTCTTCAAGTGATCAACATCGGAGAAGAACGGTGTTTTGAAATGAAATTGGTTGACATCTTTTTCAGCTTTAAAACCTTTGTTTTTGGCATGTTATATAAGTGACATCAGCACTTCTAATGTACATCAGTAAGATCCAGTTTTCAAAACTGACTTGCATTTACTTTCTGTAGCATTAGGAAACACACACAAGATAAGTAGGATGGAGACAGGTATGTTATGAAGTCCAAAGGAAATAAGATATAATTCATATTCCTGCTAATAAAAAAGCAATGTATTGATTTGGGTTTTTTTAAATCATTTAGCTCATGCATTTGTGCTCACTGAAGAGGAAGAATGATTCCTATGGGTAACTTTTGTATGATATTTTTATTGTCAGTGTCTTTAACTAGACAAAGAGAATATTTGGAGTTGCCTATTCCTTTTGACAACTAAATATTTGCTGGTATTGTGAACCAGCAGAATAACAAGTAGAAGTATCTTTTGCCATTCTTCTTGGGTGAAGAAGAGTGTTGTTTGTTTTGGTTTGTGGGTTTTTTTAAAGACATTCTCTTAACTGTGGTGTATCATTGGTTTACCATAGTTTCTTAAGCCTACTTACTCAAAGGGCATGAAATGTAACCTTGAAATGACAAGGAGGGCTGTGGATTATTAAAAGGTCTTCACGTGATGGACAGCAGAAGCATCAGCACAACACACATTGGAGTTTTTTATATGTATAAGGAGTTGTAACTAGCGTGAGAAATCCTTTTCATTAACTTGTGTTTCATCATTTAGATAATTAACTTGTCTTATGTATAATGTCTCTTAAATAGTAAGAAGGATGGCATAAAAGAGACTGTACAGCGTATCTCAAATAGTGTCAGTCAGTGAGTATCTACGTTTGTGCATGAGATCTGGGTAACTCCATTACAAGTATTTCAACATTAAATCAGTCAACTTGAATAATCACAATAGCTCACTAAATGCTGAATACATAAATCTCCCCCCTCAAAGGAACAAATTCAAAGTGCATAAAATGCTAAGAGCCAAACAGAGATGATTTAAATGACACTTTACATGTTTAATGATGGGTTATGCAGCTTCTTTCAACAATTACATTTTAAATCACTGAACATCCTAGTTAATCTCAGAAAGAGCCTAACCATTCACTAACCTCCTGAGGAATAGGAACAGGAAAAAGAAAGTGCTTTGGTATTCACTAATGAGTGTCTTTATGGGAGATATCCGACATACTACCAAGTCATTTTCTGAGAGTTGTTTTCCAGAACCAGTCAGAAATGTTTTATCTGAAACAAAGGAGCATTTTAAGTATTCTGTCTAAAACAGAACGTAGAAACAACCTGAAACAAGGGTCTGAAGTAAGAAAGAAGAGCGGCTTTACAGTGAGGGTTGCGAGTTACACCACAGCTAAGATATAAAATTCTCCCATAATGTAGTGACACTTCTTATCCAAGCTTAGATTTTTTTAAAATGTTTCATTAAATGAAAATTGAATGTTTCATTTGCAGTGCAACTAAAGGAAACTTGCAGTGTGCGTAGTAAGTGCAAGTACTTCAGTTACGTGAGAGAGTGCTGCCTTGTCCTCCAAACACAGACTTTGTGCAACTGAGACAATGTTGACCTGGTTTACTTGGAACTGTCAATGTTATAGCTTTCCATGAAAGAGAGATGCTGCTTTGCCTCTTGATTTGCTTTTAGAGTTCTTAAAAGTCTAACTAAAGAGTGTGGATTTTTAAATAGCAACGAAATACTGAATTGACCAGTTTGACCTCAAATGTATTAAATACTGGAGCCTAAATACTGTTAGGGAGTCACCACCTCTCTCTCACCCTTAAAGAACATATAAGACTGGCCTCAATTTGACTGTGTTGAGAAAACTTAAAACTCCTTTCTTTAGTGGGTTGTTTTTTAAGGCCAGTTTCAGTTTTACTCTGCATGGCTGCATAGAACTGTCTGCCACTATTTACAGACTTAACCAATCCAAAATGATATAGCTTGAGGCTTACCAAGAACAGTAGTTACTACTTTTAACATTTTACTAGCTAATCCAATTACCAAAAAAAATCACAAAAGTAAATGCATGGAAACAAAAACAATTCTGTCCAAAGAAATGTTATAAGATGTTCAGCTTAAAATGTATTTTTTCTAAAGAGAAGTATGTGTGATAAATGATTTAGCCTCAAACAGGATTCCAATTAAAGTTTACAATTTATTAAGTGAGTAAAGGCAAGCAAACAGCGCTGGGTGCGTGGGAATATTTTGATCGCTCAACACGCACACCGTACAGTTCTCTTTTCGGGTTTATATTTTTTTAACTAATACATATTCGTGGATTTTCACAATACGCTTATACATATGTATGGCCTATCCCCGCTTCATATTATAATTAGCTCTCCTCCCATCCGCGCCTGCGCAGTGTCCCCTGCTGGTGGTCGTCGGTGGTCACAGTGGGATGAAGGCTGTTATCTCCTCTTCGTCACCTCTATTAACTTTTTCTTCTTGCGTAGACTTAGTTATTTCTTGGTTTTCGCTCAAACCACAGGACTGGTATTATCTCACTTCTGAGGAAGTGTTTTTCTTTCTGGTGCCTTATGGGTTTTACACAACTATATACTCCGTTCTACTTGTTCTCAATCTGTTCTCTGTACAAGGACACCCAAAATAGCCCCAGAGGTCCCATCTTCCCCACAACCTCCACATCATTTTAACACGAATCAGACTGACACATCTCACATATGTATTTCCAGCTGAAAAGGAATGAATTGCAAATCATACCCTCCACTATAAAGGAGAATTTTTCAGAAGTGTTCACTGATATTTTCTCCATTAAAAATATGGAGATTGGCACTGTTAGATGTTTGGTTTAATTTTATGCAGGACTGATGGAGGTGGAGATAAGTGTGAAAAAAACACATCAGACTGACACATCTCACATATGTATTTCCAGCTGAAAAGGAATGAATTGCAAATCATACCCTCCACTATAAAGGAGAATTTTTCAGAAGTGTTCACTGATATTTTCTCCATTAAAAATATGGAGATTGGCACTGTCAGATGTTTGGTTTAATTTTATGCAGGACTGATGGAGGTGGAGGTAAGTGTGAAAAAAACACTGTTTGTTTATGGGGCTATTTGTAATTAGACGATTGATTCTTTCAGTTGCATTTCGTATTGGTAGCCTACTTGGCATCTTTTAAATAAATTAAAATTTTTTAAAAAGTAAAGTTGAGTGTACTGAACAGATGTGTAGAAAAAGCCTTTTTCCCTTCTTTGCACTTCTTTTCTGTTTCTATCTTTTGCATTTAATTTTATGCCAGATGATAAAACATGTAAACTGTCTAGAACTTGATGGGCAAGAGGGAAAACTGAAAATTTTGCCACAGCACCATTGCAGCAGGAGGTGAAGGAAGCCAGCAGTGGCACAGACTTCAGCATAGCTCTGGCTCTAGTTGAACACTTCCTTAGGACAGAATTAAAACAGGGTAGTCCTGCTTGTTAAGCCACTTGATTTACTCTAAAAGTTAAATGGACTAACTGATGTACAAGAGCCTTACTGAATGTGCCATTAGCAGCATAAAGGTACTGTAAAGAGGAGCTTGCACTGGGCATGATGTGGTGGTGCTTGGCTCGCACTTCTCTGCAGAATGTTCCTTCCTTTAGGCTGGCTCTAACTTTGTGCCTGGAGGATTCTGGGCACTTGTTAACAGAGCAGATACTTGTTCGTCTCTGAAAACAGCAGAAAACATCTGCATAAAGGCATTATACTGGAGTTAATCAAGCAGATTCTGTTTTGTTTTTAACTTTTAAATATGTTAAGTGAGAGCATCTCTTAAGTGAATTAAATTCCCGTTTCCCACATCCATTGATACATGAGTACCTTGTAAATTGCAGTGTGGGCAGGGGATCTTTACAGCTGGGAGCATAATCGTTAAATAGGCAATGAGTGCCCAACTATAGCTTCCTTTTTGGTGCATGGCAAATAGTATGTCTCCTGATTTTTGTCACTTTCAAAGCCTGAGATACAGCAAGTGCAAAAGCAGATTGCAGTTATGAATACGTGGGATGGGGATTGGTTTGAGTCTTTTTTTGTAAGGTTGACATTATTTCTTCATTTCCCCTCCTTCAATCAACTTTGAGGTGCTAAGCCATTTTCTGTTTCCGTTTAAAACTTCTTGTCTGTATTACCACAATGTTGACTGTAATTAGAACAGGAGAAATAACTTATCTGATCTGAAATCATGCTCCAGCAACTCAGTTTTGACAGTGACACACTTCTATTTCTGTGACGTGGTTTTTTAATATATATATGTTTACCCAGTGGTTTAATATATGTGTTTTATTGTCAGTTAAATGCTGTAACACATTAAAGTATACAGGACACTTTAGTCTGCCTAATAATTAGCAACTCGTTTCTTTTTTTGCCTTGGAAAAAGACAGTTAGATAAGCTGTAAGTCAAAGCTTAAAAATATCTGTCCGTTTAGAATTTATTTCACTGCTATATTGTAACTTCTGATTGTTACTTTGATTTTTTTTCTAGATAAGTTATGCTGCTATAAATACATTGTCTAGACAACATCTACAAGTTACTGAAGCAAAGTACTCCTTCTTACTCCTTCTCACAGTAGCTAATAGATAAAAATACATGAATTATCTCCAAAGCAAAGACAAGCAGTCCTGATGTTCCATGAGATCATTTTGACCCTTTTCAAGGCAAGAGGGAGAGGGTCAAGTTCAAGATTCTTTCTGTATAACATATTCCTAGCCTAAAAAAATTTTTTTTTTCCTTATGAAAGTAGCATTTTCTTTCTCTCAGCACACTATCAAAAATGC